ATCTATCTATCTATCTATCTATCTATCTATCTATCTATCTATCTATCTATCTATCTATCTATCTATCTATCTATCTATCTATCTATCTATCTATCTATCTATCTATCTATCTATCTATCTATCTATCTATCTATCTATCTATCTATCTATCTATCTATCTATCTATCTATCTAATCTATCTATCTATCTAATCTATCTATCTATCTATCTATCTAATCTATCTATCTAATTCTAAACGTAGTTTGTAGTCTTTCATGCAAAACGTTGACCGTTCGGTTAGAACGTAACGTAATTCGCGTTTCAAAGCGGTATTCAATCATTACTTCAATTTTTAGTAAAATGTGTTTTCCCGAAATAATGTCGAATATCTGAATAATGAACACTGCGGTTTGGTTTTTCCTGTTACAGACCAGCACTTGCTATACTTAGCTGGGCAAAATTGCCTCTGACTAGAACGTTGAATGACATGGTCGTCGGTTTTGCTAGCTGAAGAAGCACTCAATATTGACTACGTGTGGCTGCCAAAAAAAAAAAAAGATTAGGTTTAAGTGCATTTTGCTTGTGTAAGTTGTTTGCCAATTTATTAACAATTCTATTAACTCGTTGCCTGTTCTAGGATCCGCAGAGTGACACGAACAAGAAGAGTGATATCGGTATTGTTGCTGGCGAAGTGTTAGAGGCGATCGTTGGAGACCAGGGTTCGGTAATATCCTCTGACAACATGTGGGACGATTATCAGGACCACTATTCCGAACATTATCTCGATCACTATTCCGAGAAGGAGATGGATGACGACACGGTGCGAAGGTTGCTCAACTTTGGGGATGATTATCGATCGTTTATTGGGTCAACATCCGACACATCATCGTTGTCAGGACTCCGTGTGCGTGGAGGCGGTCATAAGAAGGGCCACACCGATGACCGAAGGTACAGAGGTGCAGGACGCGACAGCGAGCTCGATTCTGAGCAGGAACAGATGCAGCAGCTAAACAGTCTTGGCCATGATGAAAGCAACAGTAACAACATTAGTTGCGACAACAAAATGGACATCGACGCTGTTACCGCTGTTAGTCGCGACCATACCCATGCCCATACAGTACCTGCGTTACTGACTAGCTCGGGCCAGATCGGACTCGACGTCGGATTGAAAAACTTGGAAAATTCTACACAGGTCGCTGAAGTACTCAACCGAAGCGATCGCGATTTGGCGTTCGTTACTAACGCACTCAATAAGGATCTTCTGTCCAAGGACGCGATGACCGCTAACCAATTTGTGAGCATATTGTGCTTACTTTTTCGTTTCGTGGTGTTCTTTTTCTATCGTCTTAAGGTTATGCACGAGCTGAAATGAATTGGGCAAATACAAAGAAAATAAAAGTTCAAATCATCATTACAGATTATTTGAAGTGAACCAAATATTGGTAGAATAGTAATAGGTCTTCACTTCTTCATGTAGAAGCCCCAAATCGTTACAGCATATATTACAACTAATACCTACGCATATAGCAGGGCTGAATTGATTATATCACACGCTGATTGAAGGGAATGAAAAAGGCTTGTACGCACTACCGATCATTGAGATCTTCTAGTACTTGAGTTAGATGACTTGCTGCACTGACTGTTTCTACAATCGGTGTCTGCTTATTTGAATTTTGCAGAATGAAATGATTGCAAAATGCCGGTCCAATATTCAGTGCCTTCAGATAATTAAGATCAATATCTCAATCGGACCTGATCAACCAAGTAGCTGTAGTTTGTCAGGCAATACAACTATTAGCGGGGTATACGGGCCAGGTAATCTTGCTCCTTCTACGGAACAGCTTATTCGCCAACTGATGGAACGTTGGAATATGCTGCTACTAGATATCCAGTCCCGTGGAGCAACAAACCCCAACGAAGAATCCCGATCCCCTGTCCTGGCCAATGGTGCCGGTGCTAACAATGTTAGTAACCAGTGCGCGCCGTTAATATGCACGCCATTCAGGCGAACATTCGACGATGAATCGGTTCGTGAGGACATCGTCAAGCTTCGTGAAGAGATGCTACAGATGGAGTGTATGCAAAGAGAACTCGAAGACGAAAGCGTCAATCTTCAAAGGCTCAACGTGAATAAGCTCGATGAACGGATCGCAGTCCTTAAGGTAAGTTTATTTACTTATGGTGTGATTTATACCCAGGAAGGGACAAATTTGCAACGGTCGTATGTTGATAAAGCTTTTTTAATTATTTAGAACATATGGAACAAGTGACGGCCGCATAGCTTTGTTCAAGCCGTTATTTTCAAGCTAGAACAGAGTTAAATCTAACTTAAACTTCTCCCTTTACCGTTTTCGTGGGTGAAAAAAGATGACAGACGTTGTTGGGGTATTATTAAACAGGCCAGGATAGACGTTGCTGATGATGTCCGTATTCAGATAATAACTGAAGTTAACTTTAATTCACCTACAGAGAAATTTGTCGACTCTTCATGAGCTCAAACGTTCACTGTTAAATGTGAAGGTAAAAGTTCACCGCCTGGCTGCCAGTAACTCTGACCGCGTTTGTTCCCTCACGCAGGACGTTCGCGACCTTTACAACACATGGGACACACTGTACGAAAGGTAATTATTTTATTGTCTGGAGACAATCTTCTAGCTCTCTATTTTTAAGTTAAGTATCTGCATTGTCGAAACGATGTCATCACTGGTCAAATGCGGCAAGTCTTTCTCTTTAATAGCTAGCTCCATCGTAATCATGGTCTAAATTTGAGTCGAATCACTTCTTGCGTGCTCTAAAGCCAATTCATTATCCCTTCCAGCACTAAGCACCAGTTGATGAATCTACAGCAAAGCAAAAATTTCCTCCAGGACCCCAACAGGCGAAACAATTACCTTAGCGAGGCGTTTCACCGTCAGAAAGTGACAGCCGAAGCAGAGTTGGATGGACACCATCAGGTAGTTTACTGTAGAAATTCCCTATACACATCTTTTATTTTGTAAAATATTCAACATTTGCGCTCAGATCAAGACTATGTTTTTCTTCAAATCAACTCATAAATGAATACAATATATATATATATATCAACGTGTTTTATTTAAACTCGTGGGCTTCCTTCACAAACCGAATTTACATGCCGTGTAAGTATATTATTTTCCTAAAAAAGTTAAATTTGCTGATCGAGTACACATAGAATAGAAAATCAAGAACATTTATTTTTACCAATTGTTTAATTCTTAATGTAAAGCGTTCTCTAACACATACGTTGAACAGCTTTCACCATAGGCCTATATTGCTGGTGCGCGGCAACTTTTTCTTGCTCGGGTTCTATGTAATTGTTTGCAGGATCTGAATTTTTTGCGATATAATAAAGGCACAGCCTCCCAATAAATAAGATAGCTTAGATACTTGTCTGCGAAACTGACCGACGAGCCAACGTTAAGTATGTACAATATGGACCTTTTCTTATAAATAGTCAATTTTGGAATCTAAGCCACTCACTAATTCTTTTCGAAATACTTTTTCCCTTACCTTTAAATACCTCTGAATAGTAACCATGCGTTAATGAGATGTCATTCACATTCGCCACATACAAAAAATTGCGGCAAAATCAAATATTGAGTTGATAGCAGGCTAAAAAACAGGTCTTAAAAACGAAAGAACACCACACGGCATTGATCATTCTTTAACACTGACTTCCCGCCTTGAGTTTATCTTTGTGAAAGCCAGTTATTTTAAACTCGTTTTGAGTGATAACAACTGTTAATAGTCACAGTAGTCGGCTACTAGCCTATCGTCGCGAGCTGAATAATAAGCGAACGCTGAGTACACTCAACTTCTCCGTTTAATCTTGCGAGAAAAAAAGTAGCCGTTAGAGATTATCTGGATGACCCAATTGGAAGCTAGTGCTCTGTTTCTCAAACAGCCGTCAGTTTCTGTTTAAAAGACCTAGGTCTATCAGTGATGTTTTTAGGCCATTATGATAAATTTTCTAGCCTTTTAAATCTAAACGCTCTTAATACGCCGCTTAGAAGTCTCCCCTGTATCTTTCAGAAACCACATAAATGATATAGTTCATCTTCATCTAAATTTTGAAAATGACGCGCTATATTTCGTCATGGCGAGTTTGTTGTTTTATTCTAGAGTAAAGTGATCTTCTTCCCATACAGAAAATAGCTAGGGCACGCATGCCCGCTAGGAGAAGAAGCCCTCCAATTTTGAATGCCCCACCCTTTATTATTCATGTGGTAATTAGATTTGTAGATGCATAATGTTCCTTATCAAATCTTCTGCCAAACTCGTAATATTCATAATAATCATAATGACGTTTGCCATCTGTGATGTGCTTTCCAGGTTACTGATACGTCGGAAAACGCTATTGACATCAGCGAGATCATTAAGATGTAAGTTCAACAAAAAATCGGTCAGGCGGACATGACTTGCTGTCGTCGATTTTCAGTAATGGTAAACTGAACGATGACTAATCATTATGGAATTCTATCCTTATGCTCGTACCCGGCGAAGTCATGAGTTTTCAATTTCTCATAGTTTTCTCTATCATACGGTAGCCAGTAGCGTTATTGTCGATTTTGTCTGTAGGTGCATCTTGTTCAGCAATTAAAGGCATTTTCCCATTTCTAATTTCCCGCTTTTCTACTCACTTACAGCTCGACACAGATGAAAGATAGTATGGGCGGTGCCACCGTTGCCGACCTCCCGTTGACGTCCCTGCAGCCCAGAAATGGCATTTGTCCAGCGTCAGCAACCTTGTTGCAGTTCAAGGTAAATGATGACGACTACGATTCGAATTATGAAAGCGAAGATGATTCGCCAACCATTTGCTCCGATAGCGAAGGTAACAAAAGTATTTGGAGGATCTTCAAGGCAGCTCTTCCCTTTCAGGTTTGTATAGGCATTGCCATAAAAGTCATTTTGCTTCGAACTTCTTCACCCTGTACTTCTTCATATTTCAGTAAAATAAAGCCAATTTTAGTTAAAATAATTCGGAAAAAAATTGCTCATTTTTTACTAACCTATGTCATTGCAAACATGTATTTCTGCTTGTGAATAACTAGCGTGACTATTATCATGTGTAGGTGGCATTGGTGATGCTGTACTGCGTAGCGTGCTTTATGGAACCACGCTGCTGCGACGTAACGAACACGCTCAACTCATTTGGGCCTCAACTCCGCTACGAGCAGGGACCTCCACCAGTATAGACTAACCACTACGGACATGATGTTTAGGATCTACAAGAGAAACTTCGTCCCTGTCTCGGTAGGAAGTATCATTGGGGCGCTGATGAGCGCTATTGGTTATCTATTGGTTCACCACGGTGCTAGGCCTCGAGATAAAAAAATAACCAAGTGATTCCACATTACGGTCGACGCACATAGAATTTGTTTTACTTGGTGTCAAAGACACACGAATTTTACAGTCATCACGGCGAATCCCCATCAGATTCCCTACGCTTTCGTATGCCATTGATCGAACCTATAAACCCGGTGCAAAGGCCGCTCCTGTGCGGAATATAACGCTCGATACGACTTTGGCATATTACAGACGAACATTACCTAGCAAACATACAGGTGCATCGTGCCTGTTCACTAAGAGTAACCCGTGTGTGGCCGACTTCAACCATGAAAGGATACTTAATGTAAATATTATGATATTAACAGTAGATTCCGGTAGTCGTGTTTTGCTAGCAGTAGAAAAAAAACAAACCAGATCTGATGGTGCTCTTTTAGAGCGGTGGAATTAAAATCCTCCAAAAAAATAGATGTTATTCCGGAGGCACTGGACGATAAGAAATCGTATTTAAGGACAAAAAAAAGATATAAAAGAGAAAAAACGAAACAAAAATACCAAAGTCAAACGAGCACCTAGCGACTTATCAACGCTGGTTTTGGCAATGGTTATGTCCTAGTGGTCAGAAACGTAGGGTCTGAATGAAATAAAAAAAATAATGTTCAGATTATAACAATTAGAAGGACGTACAGCCGAGATAAAATGACACAACGCTACGAGAAAAGAAACAAAAAACATGTCTATCATGTACTTTTCCGGCATAGCTAATACATGGTAATTGTTAGGAAATTCCATGCAAAACAAAGCACAAACGTAGTTAGATGGCCATATCGGCAGCGAGAACAAGATGATCGTGCAGATAAATATTATATCTATATGCATCTATATACATTAACTATTCATTTACATGCTGAATCATAGATCGACAGGACTCATTTGACCCAAAGCTGTTCATCAAGGGTTTAGTTGAGCCTGAATTGTCGCGTTAAGGGAACACTGTACCTTCCTTTTACGCACTGATTTCACGTAAACAGGGCCTTTTTTTATAACATATACTATTAATACTATGATAGTGTTGACCTGAGATCGACAACTATACGAAAAGTATAGTTACTGCATGCTATACTCTGAACCGCAATCCTGATTTTCAATATCGGACAATAACAAAAGCAGGACGGCAGTTTGAAACATTGTTAAAGGAATGAAAAGCACTTTGCTTTGTAAAACTGAATCGTTGGCAAAATTTAGATACCAAAATTAGATCATAAGGTAAAGCGCGTTAATGTGTGCTTGTGTAAGCAATAATTTAGGGAGTTTTGCCTACGAAAAAATAGATAATATTGATTATTGATACAAAAAGATAGAAACGGACTATTCCACGAAGAATATCGGTTTTTATGGAAGAAAAACGATTTATTCAATGTTTCTTTAACCAAAGTTTGTGTTTTGTTTGTTAACGTCACAGCAATGATGCCTTGTTATTCGACGGCTAGGCAAACTCGTGAAAGAAAGTAATCATGTTTTGGCAATTCCGCCCACGCGGCAAGCGCCAATGCTACTTGGTTGATTTGTTAGACACTTTTGATCTCGGTCATTTGAACGTGCGCACGCTCTGTATTTTCTAATTGCCACAAGGGCGATCGGCGCCGACGACGTCTGCAAACATGTTTTATGTTGTTGTGTCAGAATAATTTACCAAGTAATGTACCTCTGTGGCGTATCTCATAAAAAAACGTGAATTGCTAGAAAAGAGCAAAACATTAGGCTATTGAATAAAAGGAAACATTATTTATACATACAGTAATGACGAGGTTCCTTATAATGGTTATTAATGTTCTTGCGCGTTATATGAGATCGTTACAAATATTCAAATAACTTTCATACGCCTTTGGGAATAAAATTTATGTTTTTCGGGACAGAGTTCTTTCAAAAGTATTACGGGCATGTTATCTATATTATGCAACAATATTACTTTTAGACTTATAGACGCTACGGTTGTACATTACTACTTAATTTTGATTTACGAGGTTAGACTATAATATGATTAATTTGATCACTAAAGGACATAAATCTTATACTCGAAAATATGGCTTTTTTAATATTTGCAGTGATAGAACTATACGAATGAATACACTCTTAGCACCGCAGTGAAGACTACAATATAGTTATTGATTTATCAGTAATAGCCTGTAAATAGTAAATAGTATAACGGAGGCTTCATTCTATCAATAGACAATTGTATCTTTCATTATTCTTCATCATTATCAATAATAATAATAATATTATAAGTTATCAACGTACTACGGAACACCATAGGCATACTAAAGATGAATGCCGAAACGTACGACCTGTTGTTAGTTTAGATTTAAATCAATCTATTACCTGAATCTTTAAGCAAGTAGCTGGCCCTACGATGTGTAAAACTAATCGAACGCATGCAATACAAAATATGCGCGGAAATACCGGTTTAATTTTATAAGTAGAAGAAAAGCTTCAAGCTACCATATAACTAGATAATATTCCCACTGGGGTTTGTCGACAAAACGAGAGTCAATCAAGCAAAAAAAAAATTCAGGTTTGGTATGCTTGCTTCGTTTATTTTATTACTTATGGCTGAAACTGCAGGAATGGAATTGCTTGTTGTCAGTTTATATTATTATTAGAAGAGGGCTATATGCATGGTAGCGTGTTTGGTGCGTGCCAGCGTTTGTATGTGAGAAATCCTTGACGTTGCCTTGTCTCAATTGTCCAGGTAACGTCCTGATGCACTGTGACAGTGAGTAAAAGCGTGACAAAAAAACTAATACAAAAGGGACCCCAGCGTGAATAAGACAAGTCTTGAGCATCACATGCTATTCAAATAAGAAACATTTTCTTTCGTCTTGCAGAACACCAAGTAGTAGGAAACTAACAATAATGGCAGTATTGATTGCAAAGCAAATCGCATGTTCATGAAATCTTTCGGCGAGAGCAGTCTAGAGTATAGATATATATATTTAGATAATTTTCATAAAATTATGTCACATACGTACACTGACTCACATAAATGACATACCGACGACGTTATGGTATTAAGTATGAAAAGAGGAAAGATTTTTATAGTGATTCTACATCATGTTACCTTTGACGGTGATGGTAAATTTATTGTTCACTCATTTTGTTGGTGATGTTGGCTTTCCAAAAGGGATTTCAACAAAATTTTTGACCAGATAGTTCACTCCAACGATAAGTAATGTATGACATAGATAAACAGATGCTAAGTGAAGAAGAGAGTCACGTGTGACTAATATATATATATATATACATATATATATATATATATGCAGAGGCTGATGGACAGTGTTTGGACTACGAAATAGAGATCCTTAGGGTGGTGACAAAAATTACAGTTTATATAAAATATCTTGTATATAAAATGAATGTTTTTGTACGCAGAGAAAATATTGACTAATAGAAAAAGGAAGTAATTGTGGATAATGATGATAAAAATAAAAGGTACATATGAGAAAGTGGTGTGGCGACGTCGAAAAATACTAGTGAAAAACAGAAACACTTCGAAGTGGTGGCTGATGAAAGCTGACTATTATTAGGATTAATATAATTTTATACATCATGTTTAATAAAGAAAACGACATCCAATTTTAATGTTTTCCTTTGTTGTTTTTTGTCGTGGTTTACTAAACACCATTATGATTTATGTATGCACACGAAATTATAAGGAAATATATTATCAGCAACAGAAGTTTATATAGAAAAAGTAGATGAGGAAGGGTGTTTTACTAGTTCCCTTTCCAAACAAGCACACATTTTGAAAATTATTTTGAAAGAATTTGAAAAATCAATCGCAATTACGGCATTTTTTTTTTTTTATAAATATCTTCGTTCATCCTTGTGATATATTGAAACAATGTATTTAAACCATCTAATTGAAATTTACGTTCAGTACAGATCAATACGGTGCTTAGAGTATGATCCATATATATAGGTCAAAATTTGTTTGATTTTCTCATTACAGAGTTCTGTTTCGAATATATTCAGAACAGCCGCTCTGGGTGACTTTGATAGTTAACAGGTACTATTTCTAACATAAATGTTATCAAAAAGCATCTAACTGTCTTAATGGTTGTGGTTTATACAAATCGCAAAAAAAAACTAATTTTCGCATGAATAGGGACATTTTTGAAAAGATGGCAAAACGTTCTAAGAAGTCGTGCAGGAGTTTAAAATAATTGGTAAAGTCGTATTACTCATTCTAGGGACTCAAATAGGGACAAAATTATTTTTTACTGAAATATGCGTGACAAGACGCGAATCCTACATACATATAAAAAATGCCGCCTTAGCGGTTGAACCGCAAACAACCGAGACACTTTACAAAATTAAGATTTTCAAGAGAAAGGTCAAACTTACTGTTTGATTTACCGGTCTAGTGCTAGTATTAGTTACTAAAAGTTTCTAGGTTTTAGCATATAACGTCTACATTCAAGTGAAGTACCTGATTGTTTCCACTTCACGGTTTTAACATACGTTACTAAATAACATAACAAGGCTGACGTTCGCAACTCTTACGTAGCGGTCGATAGCATGTATTACTTTTGAAAAATGCTTTATATTTCGAGGCTACTGACAAGCTTCTACGTAAAAATAAACAGAGTAAAGGTTTTAACAAAAAAAAAGTCTAGAGCCTTACATATCATCGGATACTAACTTCACAAAAAAGTTATATGAAAATTAGTCATATTATAAAATGTACAGCAACAATGAACGAATCCTGCGCAGCGACGGGGCCGAATGCGTGCATCTCATGGCTTCTGCAGTGCCCAGGTCAGAAACTCCAGGCCCTAGAGTTACGCGATATTTTAGGTCGAGAATCGGCAATCCGAAGTCCTGCAGGTGATCCTTAATATACTTCGTAAACAGAAAATCTTACGCTAAAAGTACAGGGTACACATTTCAAGTTCACAACCTCAAAATTGTAGTTATACAAATATAAGCAACTAAAAGCAGAGTACCATTTTAACATATAATTTTTTTTTGTTGTGCACAGAATAGGGAATGCTTAATAGATTTATAAACGTAATATACTTTCCAATATTCTTTTATTTCATACAAACTAGATTCTGCAGCAATTTCAAGCACTAAATATATTCACAATCTTGAAATGATCATGACCTTCTACTCTTCATTTAAAATTTTATAAATATAGCTAGATTAACTAGTTTAGCAACTACACATGAAATCTGTTTTGCTGCTTAATAACTAAAGGGTCACAGTTGTCCCATACTGTGTATAAAGTCTCGTCTTCTACCTCGAAACATACGTACGTTTCAAAGTGTAACTGGTGGCCGCACGCAAGATATATTGACGCCACTGACAGGGCTATGTTTTGCATACTGTATATTTATCGCAGGACAAACATCTACTAACTACGTGCAGATTTATCTGGCGCATATATTGGTATTTAGAGCTTGTTGTTTTAGCCTTCTTCGCGCATGCGAGTTGCTTAGAAAACTGGTAAGTGTACCCCTAATTTTACTTGTACCTTAAGTAGTGATTTTTTAGTAGCTCTATTATGATGATCCTTCGGCACTGTAGTTTATACTTTAACTAATTACGAAGAATATGCGTTGATATCGGCAGAATTATATATGTACTTAGACTTAATACCTAACACGATTGGAAGAAATAACACATAGAAATAATCTAAAGATCTTAAATTTACTTAAATTTTAAAGACCTTGCATGTGTCGGAGGATTGCTTTACGCTGAACGAATAGACCTTGGTACTTCTTATATTTCGAATATTTTACATATCTCATACTTGACTCCAGTTGGCACTCAGGTATATATTTCTTTTTTGAAAAACGCAAATATTTTATTTGAATCGCTTAATATATTATTCACATTGTGGAGAGAAGAAAGCGGCTACTGGATATCTGAGAACTACTTCAATGTTTCGTGCACTACAACCACGATCACTGAGTAGCCATAGCCAGATGCAGTCAAAACCAATAGATAGACAAAAGATAGCTTAAGTTTTTTGCACTAGAGTACGAAATGAGAAAATGAAAAAAACTTAAAGTGCGATTTTAGCCATCGATCGTGGTTATTATATAATCTTCGCTTCTCTCTTTATTATAAGTTATTTTCTTCCTTACAAAGCGTATCACTGTCTTAGTTCGCCCCTCATCTCGGCTTCTTCTTGCGGCTTGCTTATTATTCTCCGTCTGTACCTAATAATATTTCTCCACTCTGTTCCCTATGATATCGCACGCGGCATTCCTCTTATGCAATGCTAACTTTTATAGCGTCATCATGATCATCAGCAATGTACGTTTTCTTTATGTCCATGCTTATTAATATTTTAAATCTTATTATTTCTTTTTTAGCATTATTAACAATCACTGCCATCCTTTTAGACCTCTCAACTCGAGCCCCCTTGAGATAACCCCACTGATCCTGGATCGGAATTTATGGCCGAGCCGTTCGAACTGGCCGCAGCTGTTGCTGTTGTCACTGCTGCTGTAATTGGTCCCGCCAACTTTTCGACTCGTCGCCTCCGAAGTTCGATAGCGTCAATTGTGCTTGCTAAGAAAAACGAATGTATTGAATATTAAATGTGGACATACCGCAATACAGTGTTGAACGTATGCACGCGTAACGCGTAGTTCATCAACATTGAATTTTAAAAGCGACTTACCAGAGGCTGCACTACACGATGAGGGACTGGCGGCATCTGGCATTCGTGTTGGCGATGTATCCACATGAGGAAACCGCGTCATCTACAGGATGGATGTAAACAGAACAGAGTTCGCTGTTATAGGCTACATACTAACAATCTGGTTATTTTGAAATGGCTTTAATTTTAAATGAAGACGAAAACTAAATGAGAAATAGATGATATGTATCGGCGTCAATTTTCATAATGGAGTATTCCATGTCTCTTCCAGTTAATTTATAAATGTAAGCAATCATATTAGAATTTCGCAATCTTAAAAGTTTATAAAACTCTTTCAACAAAAAAAAGCTGAAAGAGGCCTAGACATAAAGCTGAATTCTGACAGCTGATTTCGACTATTGAAGCCGTTCTGTGGCGGCGAGCAGGAAATCGATGTGGTACAGAACATTCATAGTGCATAAATTGTTTTTAACGGCAGCCATGTCTCTCTAACGGCTAGATCGGAACTACAGATTCACACCGATTCTCCAAAATTTCCATTCATCTTCCAAATTCTATGACCTGTGTTTTCAGTTGCTCTGAATGCTTTCGACATTAAGCCTTGAACGTTATGTTTGCTATACACTACAACGTATTGTACCGTGTTACTGGTCGACGTCGAAGACTTTGTTGACTGCGTAGCATTAGTGGGTCCCGCCGGAGAGCCAGCCTGTGCCGACTGCTGCTGTTTTGGTACAGCGTTTGCATTTGTAGCGCTGGCTGGTTGCGTGCCAGATGCCGACGCTTGCTGCGCGGCTGTTGTTGCAGGCTGTGGAATTGCCGACGCAACAGTGGTTGCATTGTTGTATTGTGCCATCATCGTAACAGCAGCATCGAGTAGAATTTGAATATTGCGAAGATGCTGAATTCGAGCCTCAACGGCAAGCCGCTCATTGCCTTCCATCGCGCGAAGTTCGCCTTCCGATAACGTGCCGAGGTTGAGCCCACCCGGAATAATTGGTGGTGGTGGTGGAAGAAACAACGCGGGTAGAAGCGTAAACGGAGGTGGAGGTGGAATTATTGTCGACGCAGTTGGTGTTGCGGCCCCAGCAGCGCCTCCGGAAGCGCCGTTTGCGCCTTGGCCCCCAGTTTGATTTGTACCGGCATTGTTGAGTCCAGAAGATGAAGGTGCTCCAGGGCCAGCAGGCCCTGCAACCTCAGCATTGTTTTCTAAAATAACATATATGATTGACAACGGCTCATATATCATCGACTAGAATATTTCTTCTAAAACTAGGTTTAGTTTTTAAGTGGGCCTTAAACTTCAAAATTAAGATAAAAAATACGTGAAAAAACAAAACGCACGGGCGTTGTTGTTGTCGTTGTTGTTATTATTTGCTGGTTGCGGTTGTTGGGCGGCAGGAATATTGTTGGCATTCGGCGGGTGGTGAAGGTTGGGCCAGTTTGCAAACAGGGCTTGCATATTGGGCATTTGGAAGGGCGGGATAATTTGGGCACCAGGTGGAAGATTTGCTCCGCCGCGTTGACCTGCAGCGACTGCACCAGCCGCTGCTGCCCCACCACCGTGATTCGCGCCAGGTGTTAACGTACCTCTGCCACTAATACTGGAATTCAGAATGAAGAACCACATTTATTGAGAACTACTAAAACAAATACACAAATGCAAAAAAAAGAAAAAAAAAAACGGTCTATGAGCTTTTAGAATAGAGCTGAAATTTCTTAGCGCAAATGCCATAACTTGAAATTTTGCCTCTGACGGTAATTGTTCATCATGGATTTGCGCAATTTATTATTAGGGTTATCCGTACGTTTACTCATGCTATAGATTTTTTACTAAACGTACTTCAGCACGTCGCTTCTACATGTCGGGCAAGTCTGTTGCCTTTGAAACCAACTACGTAAGCACGCTGCATGAAAAATATGATTACAAGGCAACTTCTTGTTGGCGCCCACACCGCCTCCTGCTCCAGCAACTTGCATTTCTTCTCGGCAGATGATGCACACATTATCAGCCGACGCCAGTTCCTCAGCCGTGGCATCCGGATACCTACCGACACCCGTTCAAAAATCACGTAAACAAAATATTTGCACATTTATCGTTTTCACTTACTCAGAGCCACTTTCGTTGCCTAAATTTCTCCTACAACTGACAGCTTCTACAGAAAGGGAGGTGAATAGATCTAAATTTAGAAGTGTACGGCTACCCCGTTTAAACTCGACGTTGCGTATGAGCAAATTAAAACAATAAACCGCACTTCAGCAGTTTGGAATAAGCTTCCACAGATATGTTACAGGCTCCTGTAACCGTGCGCCCTCAATATGATTCACCATTTGCTATTGCCCTTTTTGCTGCTCTCTTGGTGACAACTAAATCCGTCGGTAAATACTTACAATGTATTCATATTATTGATCGCCTGACGTGATAGAACGACGTCCTTGAAGGCCCTTTTCAACGCTCGTATCGAAAGATACATCGGCCGAATAGCAAACAACGGGAAAGTGTGGATACGCAGCATGACAAGCATAAATGTAGCGTAAAGCAATACCTGAGAAAGTAAGCACACGAGCAGAAACAAAGGAAGTGTAGTGCTTGTTGGCAATCTCACTGGATTTGCGTAGTATATCGCACAAGAAGGTAAAAATACACGGACATCCTTTTAGTGGGGAGTGGGGAAATAACCGGTCTCTGCCACAACAAATGCTTGAGCTATAATCATTGCACTAGGGAATAAAAAGCTCATGCCATAATATTATGCTAGAAAATCCAAAACAGATCGAGTAATAAATTTTACCTTGGATGAGCTCATCATGAGTTCAGTATAAAGAAGGAGCACGGCCTTATTCTCCCACTGAGTCTCAGCACGAGAATCGATCGAGTGTAAAACGTATTTTATTAGGATATACCAAACAGAGGAAAGAAGGATTGCATACTCGAAGCCGAAGACCACCTGCACCTACATTCACGAAGATAGCATAAAAAGGGCACTGTTACGGGCAAAACGATACATAATCTGCTAATCATATTTCCTATAGTATATTCAGCAGTTCAAAGCGTCTTTTTCAGAACGCTTAGATTTGCTTGACACCTATCCGATATCCATGAGTCTGATACTGCTATCGATTATAGCAGGCACATATCTATATATATATATTCTAGAAACAACAAGCCTCAAGAGTATTATAGGTAGTCGGGTGTTGACAATATACGATCAGCCTTCTCCATTATTAAAGATTTTTAGATTTGCATAACTATAGCAATAATTTTAATAATTTTATTATTTTATAATAGTAATAAAATTATTATAAGTGAATGCGTATGATATACAAAAGAACGTAATATATTTTAAAGGCTAAAAAACTCACCGACGCTCCAGCGGTCGCGACGCTAAAGTAGGCGTGACGAACAAACGCATAATCCAACACACTAAGCAACGCTAACAAACTCAATACACGAATGTGGAACAACAAAGAAATATTTGGGCTTCGCTCCATGAAGTCGACTCGGTCCTCGGCTAACCAGTGAAAACCCTTTTCATCGTTGAGACACGGCATTAATGCCATTAGTACTCGGTACTATGATGTCCACGGATATCATCATGGATTGATCATACGTGATTTGCCTCGTGTAGTACTAAAGAGTTCAATAAATATAGCAGTTTGTTTCTCGCTAGCATCTACTCACCTTTAGGACGAGAAGCAGTACAAAAAGGGCTATAAATTTTGGTGAGAAATCATCCCGGAATACTGTAAAAGCTAAACATGTTTCTGTTATAGCGTACCACGACCTCTCGAGGAGATGCTGAAATTACACGCAAAACACCGTATTACGAACCTCCTAAAACATGCTTGAGTGTATCTGTTCGCCTATCGTATTACAAGTATAGCGTCAAAATCGGTTCCATTTGACCGGATAATAACAGAAAATAAAATAAAAAAAGCGAGACGATTATTGCATTTATTTGCATTATATTTGCTAATGGGCCAGTAAATATGTAAATGCCGGGAAACTGCGCTCGATTATAATTTTGATACTTTTCTTAGAAATTATACCTCGATCTCGGCTGGGCGAAGCTGTCCGAAAAACAGCTTACCCATAGCTTTGGCCATCAACCATACGATGACGGCAGCTTGAACGTAGATTACTGCCATACATGGGTTTGACCTGCAAAACATCACAAATGGACAAGACAATAATTAAAACTACGTGTAAGAAGATTGCATTCTAGACAATGATTTGTCCGTTACGGGTAGCTGCATCAACTAATAATTAAAACAAAGAAGAGCAGAACAATTTGATCTTACACGGAAACATCACTACGGTTTGAATAGCAGATTTTTTTTTAAGCTTGCCGAGTTAAGAGAACAATTAGAGGTGCAATGAGCTGGAAGGGTGAAAGTGAACGCTCCGCAAAACTTACTTTGTGAGAAAAACCACGGATGGATAAAACTGCCTTTTTTGTAGATAAGCATTTCCCACTACCGCTGTGGATACGCACAGGCTTCCCAGGGTAAAGAGGCCCTGTCGAAATGACAGCATCCTGGAGGCCTCCACGGCGAATAGTGCTATAAATTGATAAATACAAAAAAAAAAATGTATGTGTTAGTGTACAGACTAAAGCAAGTCGCTCTTTATGATACGCAGTTTTTTAGACTACAAATTTTTGCTGTCACAAGCAGATCATGAAAACTGCAGCTTTCTCGCTTGTCGAATTGATGCTGAGTGCATTAACACAATCTACAGTAAAATACATTTACATTTTGCCCTACTTCTGACACTTGGATGCTTCTTTATAGTTCTAAATGAAAATCCATGAATTCAAGATTCAGTTTACATTTCTACTGAATAAGTCGATACTAAACCAAACGAAAATTGGTCATCAATGACAAGTAGAGGATGACACCTAATTTTCTCGATTGCGATAATTTCAGATGATAATGAGAGCTCAATACACACACATCCGAAAATTTGCAAATGTTGTCAAACATTTGATTGAAAGATTGTAACCATCCTTTATTGTGGAGACAACAGTTATAATAAGAACGCTATAAAGCTGGGCAATCTGTCACGATAGACGTCAGACTGACATACTCACATAAATGGTTTTTTAGTTGTAGACGTCTTTCCGTTTTCTCGGCTTAATGTTAATAGGTAAGCGACAAATAACTAACCTGGAGATTGCGGTAGGTACACACATTTGTCATTAAAAAAGGGAAAACACGGGACAATACAGAGACCCTAAGAATACGGAATTAATACAAACTGACATAAAAACAAAGAGAATTTTATTATGATTATCTGACATTAATTTTGTACTACAGAACACACTACTGTGGGGACAAGACAGGAAAACCATTACTGCAAGATGCTATTGATTATCGGGCTCCTCGTATTCTCAATCTTCACTTTCAGGGAACTACTACAATACGACACAGCCACTTACACACGCTATCCTAAATGAAACTAAATAATATTGCTTTTCTTTTGCACAACGGGAACCGGCCTGTAACTAGTCGCTTAACCGTTCTTAACAGTCGCACATATTCCTAAGAGCGCAGCGCGCCATCTTTGTTTTGAATGATGCCGCGCCAACGGAAAACCAGGCGGGTCAATTAAATGAGTGTTATGTGAATTGAGATCTAATTCGTTTTGATGATCTTTTGATTGTAAGAAACCATTATGTCTAATAATGATAAAGGTTCCAAAAATATATACACGACAAAATATAAATGCCTTCATAAAATTTCCGTAAAATTTAGTGAGCCTCTAGATTGTCTTTATGCTACTTTTGCTTTTTACGTACACGTACAATTACTCGCGTTCGTTCTGGTTAACAGATACACCAACTAACAAATTCATTTCCTATAGATAACGAGGCACTTCAACACAATATTAGGCAATCGAAATGCTCTGTTGACCGAACAAATTTAAAATTAGTGTTTACACCTAGAATCTCGTATTAAAAAAATTTCTGACTTATTTTTTATTGGGCCTTTACATGCTGGCATGGTTCCATATTCGATGTTACTGTTGAGGCCGAAAGTTGTAGAGACTGAGCCGACGCCTTGTGTCAAATAAACAATTACGTTTGAACACAACCACTGATAATCTATGCAGCTAGTTAATTAATCCTTGATAGAGAAATAAAGAACGCTGTTATGCACCCAACTGGACGGATGTACTTTTTTTAGTCCCAGAATAGTGTGGGGCCCCGAGAAAAATATAATTCTTCTCTATATATACTATATCATTTTTCGGCTGTGGTTAAAATATCTAACTACAACACTACAAATTTGTACATTGAAGGCTGCAAGGCAGCTCATGTTAGGTCACTTAAAGTGAGGCACTGCAAATCATATACGGTGAAAAGTGCGTTGTCTTCGGTGGTGGTAAATGTTCTATACTTTGTACGCAGCTGAAAAATGGTTATCTTCTTTGTTGCACAGGTTGCTTTCTGACAGGACTAACACGATATAAAGCTGAACAGATGCGATACGATGTAATGGAAAAAATGCGCGGACTATACGGCTAAGATTCGTTTCCTGCTACAACGCCATTTAATATGAAGGGAAAACATTACTCGTATTTCACCTCGCGCACGAAACAAAAAGAATTTAGGCATTTCTACTATGCTTTAGTTAGACCCAACTGCCGGATTTTGTATTAGCTTTTCGAGTGCTCAGACTTTCACCCTGAGAAAACTTTATGCTTTGAATAAATTACACACGTCGCTAGTATCAAACGAAATATTAAATCAATGACTCCGGATAGTAATGCCTATGAGCCTCGGTGTTGATAGGTGAAAGTGGGCAAATGTTACACCTACGTGGTATCGCTCGTTACAACCTGAGTCGAACAGTGGCAGCCACTCGGTTCCGGGATAACCCATTTCTGACAAGTAACTTCAAACTTAGTATAATATCAATTTACATTGAGTAAAATTATTTAACATACTTGGTTTGATAAGAGCAACAGCGTGTTTGGAATCAATTACTGTCATCAGCATATTGTAAATACAGAATCGGTATAGATCGGAAAGATAAAACATATAGATTATCATTGAAAATGTCATTAATCGCGCCTTTCATTTTTCGCGATTCCTTATTCTGTCATCGTTTTGATAAAGAACGCCTTTTTGGAACGCTGAAGGCCCGCACAAATACATATTTGCGTGTTCGATTGTTCAATCACTATTGAACATAACCTTTCTTCGCATTATCTAGTGCATACGACCTGGACGTTCTGACGCTACCCGTATGCCTATGTCCAAGTGCCAACTCACACGTCTAGAATGCAGAATCTCTAGTCAAAATGCGGCACCCTCGATATCGGCAGCGTGCGATATGGTTAACGGCGCCAGATCACATGCATATCAATCACTATCATTGTCGTTACGCTCCCGTGAATTTCCTATTATTAAGTCATTAGTGTATTCCCTCATTCGGAGTTGATAGTGAGAGTCACATTCGCCATTTGTTAATGGAAGAGAAACGAGAGGCGAGCGAAAAGATTGAGATTGAACAGAAAGGGTTTGCAGGAGTACTCGGTTGGGCGAGTGGGTAAATGCAGCCGACAGGCAGGAACCGAGCGGATTTTAATCTCATCATGTACAGAAAATCGTGCTACACAATCATCAGCAGCATGGTTAGTACATGGCAGTACGTTTTTGAGTCCACCTTTTCGCAAGTAGTTTAAAACCTGGCAGCTTACAGAGATCGCATAGACATGTCATACTTATCCTAGTTGTGGCCAGGCTACTGATGTCTAACTATGCGCATATTGCCAATGTCGAGAGAAGTTCGGTACATTCGGCATCCGTTTTTTTCTTAAAAATTCTTATTTTTTCTTCTTTTAAAGGCTGAACCTTTTTGGCACCGGCTCATCCGCTAGATTCGTCATCCATAGCGCCACTGGCGTAAGCCGGATCTTTTCTGGGAGATGTCTATGATATTTTACACGAATGATAACGTATCCGGTAATATTCTTTAATATAAGCAGTCTTGTAGAAAGCTGGAAATATTCAGCAACATTACCCATATGTTTTTCATCAATTTTGCTATTTTTATATGCATTTTTCTAGGTTTTTTTCACCCGTTTAATCGCCCCTCCGTTGTTACAGAAGATCAAAAGCACGTAAAAATTACTTAGTCAGCTATTATTATTACGCACGCAGTTCAACAAACACGAATTCTTATATGCACACGAAAAAATAACAAGTATATTTTGAAAGCTAATGCCAGATCGTGCAAGACAATTCGACGCAATGCCGACTAGAGCCGAAGTACTTCTGTAATGATGATTCCATGTCTGAAATATAACGATGCCAGTGTCTCCATCGCTTTACACATTACTTAGGGGAAACCTCATAGAGATTTTTCTTTGTTAGTTTAAAGATTCCCTGCCTCATACTAGCTCGTCGTATTTAACAAGCACGTGTTCTGTTTTGCTTTCAGAATGCGCTCGCCGACGGCTTGTGTCTAAAATGGGCAAACCTGTATTAGTTCGTCAAGGAGGACAGGCTGAAGGTGGCTGGGGCCGCGATTGTTTTCGGAAAGCTTTTAATGCCTCTAGGTATCAATACTTGCTTATCTTGATTAAAAATTTGTTGTAGCACTAACTTAGAGCAAGTGGCTTTATTCGTACCATAAACAGAGAAGCTTGGTCACTCAGAAAATCAGCAAGCATGAAAGAAATCGGCACAGATACCCAAAGTAACCGATAAGCAATTATAAGCTATTCTATATTTTTAATATAGAGCTTCCTTTATATTTTTATTAACCATTCTTCAAGGCTTAGCTTAAATATTCAGCCTTGTATGTACTCTCGTTAAATAAGGTAATTTATCTGAATTGAACATATTAGAAATTTATAGCAGTCTTGCTAGTATAAAAATATTAGTTGCTTTGGGATTTTTTTGCATTTGCACACTTTAAGGCCGGTTACTTGAGTCAGTCATTTGTCTAAGAGTAGTGCTTTATTCGAACGTCGCAAATGATTAAGTTTATCCGTTACGCCTTACCTATATGTCGCACTCATATGGCGGGCCTGAAATAAAGCTTTGCTGAAACTAAAAACAAATGTAGCAGAATTTTTTAGTACTGGTGAACATCTAGCCAAGTAAGTAGTTTTCATACTGCGTTAAATCAATATTCTGATCGAGCTATATTTATCATGCGATATCAAAACGTACTGTATTGCTCCAAAGAGATATTATAGCGACGTATTATTTTTCTGCCGTACGTACTATTGAATTGTTACTTGCTTGACCAGAGAATGCTCGCTGGCTTAAACCTCTTTTGCATAAATCAGATAACAATTTTTTGTTTGATCCTTATTTATCAGATCATTCGTCACATTGGATAACGATCCAAACACTCTTCTTGAATTTGTCAACGGGAAGCTTGCGAAAAGGTAAAGTCCAGGTTTTATTCTGTCCTACGGCACGCACTTTTCAGTAAGAAACAAACCATCTGTTTTACAGCGACTAATAAAAACTCGGCACGAAAAATGGTACTCCTAAGGATATCAAATTGAAAAATCATTTGAGTTCGCTAAATAGATCAGTAAAGGTATTTTGTAGCTTAGTAAAGATTAAAAAGAATGCACTTCATCAATGTTTATAAATATGGTACGATGGAATACTGGAAAAAATTAAAGGAACCATACAGGCAGGCTCCTTGAGTAGACTTCAATCGAGTTAACCGTGTTTAGTCATCGGGTATCCTTTAAGGATTTATTATTTACACCATAGGTATTCAAAAAGCCACGCAGAACAATAAGAAGTAATATTTGCATCAGGTGCATATCTTTTTATAAATTTGCAGTGAAAAATAAACTAAAGAATAATAGTCTATTATTAAAAAAAAAAAAGGTAAATTTTGAAAAGATTAAATCCTATAAATTCTGCAAAATTTTAAGACGCATGATCGTTTCCCAAAAGAACTTTTTGTAAAATAAATACTTCAAGTATAGTGCAGCATCAAGGGGATTAGCTAATTGGAGTAACTTATGCCAGAAACCGCAAGCAAAGTTGGTTGACCTTCTAACATACTACATAAACGTATTTTATATAGGTCTCGTCGATTGGAGTCAAGGAAAATCATTATTAGAGAATTCATTGTATGTTGTTCGATAGTATGAATGTGATCAGTTTGGGAAATTGCTTACCATTTTTTCAGCTTGCGTAGAGCGCAATTATCATTATTAATACTACAAGTTATGGGATATTTGTTCAGGTATCTGGGCTCCATATTGAAGAAGACAGGCTAGGAGATGGAGTAAGTGTTAAAAATGCAAAGGCGTTAAAGCCGATTTTAACACTTGTTGCCATTACCGAAGGTGCAATGTGAGGTGTTGGAAATCACGACCTAAACAAGTAACGAGAGTCCACCAATACTTGATAGAATAAGAAATCGTTCATACTTTACGCTATCATCAGTATTCCAGCGGTAGTCAGATACGACTGTTGAAGAACACGGTTTGTAGTATCAAGCAAGTTCGTGTACATTGAACACGTGGACGAGTTGTGTGTACTCTAGAAGGCGTATCGCTAGGTGCAGATGAATACAGGTTTTGGACAGCTGCTTTCATCAACGACACGACAGATTACGCTGAGTCATAGGGCTAGCAGATAACATATAGCATTCGCAGCAAAAGGCTTGGGACCTTGGGTTCAAAATAGGATCCAATTTGTTTGAATTAGTTCTCTATCATCTACAATTTTTTTTCTATTTTCTAGTTTTCTTTCTTTAATTCTGCTCGCTTAAATATATGGTAAACTGACTATATGAATCAACTATGTAGTTTACCGAAATAGATGTCAATACTCTACGGGTTCTGCTTGAACATTTCCAAAATGTCTATTTACTAATTATATGGGCTGCGTCTTGCAAAGTGCTAGCTTCACCGCGCACCACTCTGGCGGATCAACTCAGGATTGTGTATCGGTAAAATAACAAATCCTTAAAGATAGATTACTTTCGTGTGTAGTATAACTTGAATATATTTTAGAAGACGCTGAATGGTAACATTGAAATATAGATATTTATATATCGGTGCATGCTCAATACCACAAAAATAAAAATCAGTGCAAATATTAAAAGTGCTTGCTCTTTTCAGATAAGCATAGATTAATTAGCCTAAAAGCGATTAGATTTTTGTTTACCACGTAAACGGGTCATTAAAGGGTGAAATAGAAAGGATGGAGAACCTAAGCAGTTCTAAAATGGAACCAATTATATAATTAATTATTTGTATTGCTTTACAGGCATGCGCTGCCGTATCCGTTTCGAGGCAATTCTCACATAGTCTATAATAACGTGTTCTATTACCATCAGATGAATACTCGAAGCCTTGTGCGATACGATCTTGAAAATAAAACTTCGGCCGCTCTTGACATTGATGATGTAGCGTTTGGCCGATCGTCCAGGTAAGTTTCCGTGGGCGTCCCCTTGTCAGTCAATAAAAGTGCCTTCCATGGTGGTGGCGACATCAACGTGAACCTATAATTCACTAAATAGGGATTTATGCACTCTTCACCGTATAAGGATTCCAATTCCGTAAAATAAATTTTCTTTACTTATTAGAAAAATGTATAATTGGCCTTTGATAATAACTGGCTATGACCAATTAACAGATCAGCAAGCGGTGAATCGTTACGGAATTTAAACTGATTAGATGTCATGGGTATTCGAGACCAAAAATGTACATTAGGTCATTGTCTGTGAGATCCGCCGAGAGTACACTACTTACCAGAGTTACCCGGTACGACCTGTCGTAATCTTTTTTTTTTAAACTGGAGAATAACATCGTATGAATTCTCGGTATATCGCTACTATAAGGTTAATATTCGCACAGCTATTCGTGACCACTGTCGCTACTTTCCGACTTTCAGCGACTTCCTTTTTCCGTAATGAAGCTACAGAAAGGGTCGAAAATCCTGAGAAAAAGTCCATACTTTCATAGCAACGGAAAACTTGAAGGACATGCTCTGAAGGTGCGCAGGACCTAAGAAGAGACGCTCCCCGTTATACAGCTTGAGTGTGGCAGGGTCCTGGCTGTAGTCCGTTGGATACCTTTGGCTGAGCGTCACGCGGCCACACTGACAGTTCTAATGTGCAAGCATATTTTGGCCGCTTCCATGTTCCTACCTGTATGCCTGGCTACGGATCAATGGCCAGTATGCCACACACACATATGCATAATTATAAGCTCAGCCAAGGAAGAAACCAAGTTGTGTCAGAGGATGAATGAGTAGAGACTAGAAAAACCGCTAATCATCTATGCAAACAAAGGAAACGTCAGAGTTGCCCTTAGGGAGAGTCTTACGAAGAAAATATGGATGGTTATTGTAATAAAATGACAAGCGGAAACGGCTAATTTCATATCTTCATGGCTAGTTGAACTCGAGTTTAAAACAGCAGTATATACACCATCTGAAATAACTATAGTCTACATACAAGTAATACATTGAAAGAAAATTAATTTGAGAAAATGTCCAAATATTGACCTGTGTTTACTGTAGACACCCCATACTAAAGCTTGTTGGTATCTATGTGGTGGATGGAACTCTGTATTAAAGCACTTTGTCCTGCGTCGTTAGGGTTCAAGACTTCCGTCAATTGGGCGGGATGTCATCATAGGCCAATGCTGTTTGCGTGAGTCACCCTAAGGTGGCATTCAATTCCTAATTGTTGCAGTATTTCGTCAACTTTAATCCTACTATGTTTTGTTTTAGCTAACACTCAGATACTGATTTTCTGTTTTATAATGTTTGCAGGCTGCTATACTTAACGCGGCGGAGTCATGTAGATGTTATGGCAGACGAAAACGGCCTCTGGGCGGTATACGCTTCCGAGAAGTCCACTAACACAATGGTGCTCAAGTTAAGTCAGCTGAAAAAAGAGTGGATTAGGATGCATAAAATAATATCACATACGACAAAAACGTGTCACGTTGGCTGTAAAAGAATTATGCCAGGCAATATATTGGTAATTAGTATCTTAAGTCTCTTGAGATTTCTCTGAACAGTTTGAGTCTTTCCAGAAGAGAGGTGCGTACTCTCAAAGTAGCTTCAGATGATTAAGGTAATAGAAAAATCTCACACTATTATACTATATTCCATTGAATTTCGTAAGTATTCATTATTCATTAGATTTTTTATGTAACCTATGCCGACGTAATGAGTGAGTTGTTTTGAATTCCTAAATCGAAGAGTTCTTTTCGCAGTAGTACATTTGTACCTACACTTATCTGTTCGTACCGTTTGTATTGCATTCCAGTTTGATGAATCCTCAATGAAAGTTGAACGAGTTTGGAACTTAACACTTGACCATCGGCGGGTCAGTGCGGTTTTTCTATAATAATTCATGAAGTCATTGATTCATAAACTAGAGATCAATTCGACTAGATAACTGCGTCTGTTTAAGTATAAACGCCGAGAGGAATACATAAATCTACTACTTGGCATTAATTAAGAAAGCCTTCTCTTTTCATTATCAAATATTACACCTATAAAAAGCCACCGCCATTAATTGTAACATGTGAAAAAAAATAATAATTTTAAACTATACATTAAGTTTAACTTGATTACGAGATACAGTCATGCTAGACCTTTTTTCTTGTAGTTTCCATACGAATCCGGCCACTTTTCTGTTTCCATTGGATGAAGATCCTAAAGCTAACCGCTGCGATTTCGCCGTGCGATCTATCATCGTTATTATGAGCTGATTTATTATGATATCTGTGCATCCCACTGCCTTTAGGTTGGCCAGATGTTTATCGTGTGTGGAGTTCTTTATACTGTGGGCGGTGTAACAGAAGGAGGTACACGCGTGGAGCTCGCCTTTGATCTCTACCTTGAGCAGACGCTTGCAGTCGGCGAAAGTATGTCACCGGCGCTTGCACGAGCTAGGCCAGTAGGGGCACCAGTCCCTAGTATCTATATGGGCTCGGGCGATCCAGGTCAATCTCAGTCTAAGTAATCCCTACCGAAACACGACTATGATAACTTATAACCCGGTCTCCATTCCTGGGATCACGGACATCAACTTTACTATCCGCTGCTTTTTACTCAACATGTCCAACAGGTAGACCACGCATCGTTACATTTTTCGATAAAAATAATTGAGACCAAGCGTGTATCTATTCAGTTAAGCCATACGTTTTATATATCTATATATTTTCTATTTCATCTAAAGGCTTTGCTGATCTAGGTATTACATTGTTTCCAAATCTTTAAATTTCATACAATTATTCAAATTAATGTAAGCTTCTGGACTCCAACAAACCTTTTAAAAGTTGCAATAAATTATTTGACAATTTATAAGACTTTAGCGAAAAATGTTCTCCGTGTGTAACCTTTTATTTTCGTTGCAGGCCAATTCAATAGGAAGCCTGACGTCCTTAGGAGGATTCGCAGGACCCCGTTAACCGCAAGGTCCGCAAGGGTTGCGCACGAGAAGAACAGCAGATTGGTCATGATGCAGAATCATTTGGAAGGAACGTGCTCAGTATTTTCGATTCTTCAGAGCGACTGTACCCAACGAGAGGTGACAGTAAAGTGGAAACGAATACATAGATTTCTGGCACTACAAGGTAGAGAAATGGACGGCTACGAGAACCTTGTGACGGATCAGGGCGTCGTAGTGAAGTTAATATTTGCTCTAAGGAGCCTAGCAGCCCTGAATAAAAGTCTAACATGAAAGATCAAAACCACCTCAATAGAAATTGAGCTACGGGACAGAAGAAAAGAGTCTGTTAATAGAAAGTATCAATAACTGCAACAAAGTTTTGGTTCTAAGCGCAAAACGAAACCTAATCGGCGTAATAAGGACACGCCGAAACGACCGGCATCTTGCTTTAATTCTATTCATAGCCAAAGAGAAGCATAAGGAATTGATTGATATTAACTGAGCTAAATATGCCAACCTAAGCAATAATCATATACATATGCATTTTAATATTGCCTATTCTGAGCCATGTATTGGTTATTTGCAGATAAGCTAGTTTCGATTTGTATATGTTTCAAGGAATAAGCTAAATATAGCTAAGATGTTGAAATATTAGCATTTATAATGCTTGGTGTTTAGTTGTATGCTTGTTTATTACAACAAAGAAGATGCTTACTGTACAATAAAAAATGACAGCTGTGTTACAAAAAAATACGTAGATCACTTAACTTCACAAAGGAGTGATGTATTAAATAAAAAAGAACATCAAATATGATTTATATAAAATATGGTTTATAGCATTTAGCGATGGAGAGCAGAACGGTCCCAAGAAGTGCATTTTGGTAATCGGGCCGATCATAACTGTAACGTGAGTTATCAGCGACAAAACGAACGTTAATGGTTATTACTACTATAAGAAATACGGCTTGATGCCATGAAGTGACACGGATCCCAAATCAAGGTTGGGTAATGTTGATGATTCCTGTATCGATTTCGAAAGTAGAAGGCATATACGGTTGAGGGTCGAAAGGGTATAACAACTGTGTCTACTGTAAACGTTGTACATAACGGACGAGACAAAAGTAACAGACGAATATTTGGTATGCAAAACAAACAAATACTAGTAAACGTAAAATTTTAAGCTACAAGTGCTGGCTGATGGTAAAACCAACAATGCCATTGATCGAGCGGGCTAACGAATACGGCGGCTAATTAAAAAGTGTCGATATTTATGAGTTGTGCCGCTATAGCGATAATAAAGAGCAAGTAGTGTATATACAACTAGAGGATGGAAAATCATCTGGTTATTATTTAGTTATTGGACAAGGATGTTATACTTCGACTTTCGATGGAGTATAAAAGCAACTGTGGTTCGAATTTGGGTCGGGTGTTTGGGCTCCTGTGATTCCGTCGTAATATTTGAGTGGTTTCATTAGTGGGCTGATTATTTTCCTGCGTTTTGACATTGCTTTCGAATCAGTTTTAGAAGCCATATCGAGTTCAGCCTAAACAAAGTAAACGGTTTTATCCAATAAGCATGTGCTTTATGCTTCATACTGTGGAGTTTCAACCAATGAGTCTATCAGTTATCTCCATAAAAAAAGATTAGAAGAAACAGGCCGATTATTTATTCAAGTATTCCAAGTACAAATCTGTATACTTAGCGAAAATACATAATCAAAATAAACTTTCATAGCTCTGGGAGTACAGTACATAATTATGATTTTAGCCTAAGGTCTTCGCATTTGTTCAGTAACTTCTCAGTTGATTAAAATTCCACCCAGGTCGGACACTGTCTCTTCGAGACGGTCCCTAAATGAGATGACCTGAAACGCCAATGTTCTGCGTAATTTAGCATGTGAACTGCCATTGAAAGAAAAGGGGACTTCTCACCAACGAATAGGAATAGGTAGAACCCTGGGTTTTGGCCGTTACCCAACCCTTGATACCAAGAGGATGATGAAAGTTCTTCAACATAGGTGCATGTCTTCAATATGCCTTTGAGTTAAGTGCGTATACGGGAACACATCAGTCGATGACTTTAGACTTTTGGAAGACAACGTCTATAAATAAGCATACACAATACTAGAAAAGGTCTAAAGAGCAACAAAAATGCCAAGTGAATACCATTCATCATGGTAAGTGGAGATCAATGTACTAAGTTTGCATATTTCTAATTACATAAAAATGAAGTAAGCGCTATGTCTTATTTAAAGCATATAATTGCTATGCTGTCATAGCATCCTGTCATAGAATCCTGTCAAAAGACGCATCAATGCATAACTTACCCAGGGAAAATAGTACAATTTAAGATAAACTTTAACAGTCACGATTTAAGCCTATCTGTCCTTTGGCTTAAAGATATAACCCTTCAAATTATGTGTCTTCTCTCCTAGTAACTGATCCTTTCCTTATTCCTTTGTATAGTGGATTGTTAGAGATGGTACCTTCCCTTGCCTAGTTGACACATCTTCAGTTCTAGTATTAACCCGAACATAGGCCATTTTTACTTTTACGCGGAAACACACGAGGCTAAATGGTCCGCTGGGGTATATATGACCGACTTCGCAGATACGCTATTCCACGAAAGTAAAATTTTGTCGATTCAATTCAAACGGAATTGAACAGCTAGGACATCTTTTAGATTTTGATTTTCAATCGGAAATGTCTGATATCTTATGGAAATCGTGCAGTTCTATGCAGTCTTTAATACGGCCTGGGTCAACGAAATTTCCCCAAAATTTCATAATTTTGTAGTAGTTTTTTCAGCATACTCCGCAATACTCAGGAAAAAATAACAGTTCAGTTATGGAAAATTATAATTTACAATACAATCAAGTTGCCTGGCTTATTCTTCTGTAGCACAGCTCATCTTTTACCGCACATTTAAACAATCTTTTTTTAGGAAAAGCAACGTGTGAACAAACGTGCGATTTTAATGGACCGTTTCCCCCTTTACTGATCAGCCATACACATAGAACCCACAATAACGTACTACAATTAAAATAAATAACTTCCTCGTACTATTCGAAGCAAAATATGACAAAATGGTGTCTTTATTCATTTAGCAAATCATAAGACGAGTACTCGTAGGTCATATGATGTATCATACACATCATATGATTGGTCATCATATAGCTTGCAAATATTATCACACGGACGTTTTGCCATTCGAGCGGATGTATACGGCTGTGGTTTCTTTCTGCAAAAATCATTGTAACAATTCACTCTTCCCAATACATGCCACTGTTCACCGCTATTTACAATGCAATTTTTATCTACAGCTGACAGGAGCGCGGATGTTGTCTGCGCGTGGATGCGCGATAAACTAGACCCGTTCATGTGTAATCTGTCTTTCTATGTAAGTTACTAGAATTAGAATACTTTGTGCTACTCTATTGTGAAGCTATTCCTTCTACACTTTATGCACGGAACTCTTTATACAAAAAATTCTGAGTTAGTTAGCATTTCGTAGGCTAGCGCGTTTCCAGGACAATGAATTCACTAATGATAGCTAGGCTGTTCAGTGGTCGGCGGAAAGATCCATCTGTTTGTTTACGACCAGCACACAGCTGTTTCGCAGCGAGTCAGCTTTTCCTGCCCGAGGCATAAGGCCGAACTGAAGTGTTCTATGTCTGGCTCAATGTGCAGACGACCAAAGCAACAATCCGTTTATGTAATCGTCTGTGCTGTGTCTGTGTTTGGGATTTGTCTCAACCTGTGAACACTGCGAGTGTATTGTCTCAAGACACTGAGTATAGTAGCTTGTTTTCTTGCACGTGGAAAACATCGACAGCGTAGTAGAATTTCACCGCAGCGTACGTATCTTTGTACTCTGAACAATGGATATTGTTAGTACTTAACTGTCTGTCAGCGTGAAGAGTTCACGTAAAACATTACTGTTCGTATCGGACTAAAACATCATTTGTTTCAATGTCGTCATCATTGATGCTAATGTGAACGTGTCGGTTCCATCCAGCTTCGACGACGCCAATCACGAAATACTGAAGTTGACTGCGATGTACGTGAGTCAGCCGAAGCGATTGTGTCGGTGAAATTTTACGTCCACCCTTGCGGACATGCGTGACTAGAAACTTGTTCAAAAGCCAGTGTTGACGTAGTCCAGTAGACGACTGTGATGTGACTTTTATTTTACTGGAACACAAGGGCGAGAGAAAAGTTAATTTTTGTAAGGTGAGACGGTTTCCTGTTAGTACACGTCATACAAGTTGCGATAAGTTCTATTTGTTTAGCTACGTCATGTCTTGTTTTACCTATAACATTTAATATCAAATGGAGACGGATCAGAATGATGACTGCCAGAATCGCAAATGTAGGAATGGGAAGATAACGTGGTTGCAGCGTGCTGATTGGAGTGGCTTTTGTTTAGGAATAAAATGATTTTGTTCAGCTGTGAATCATACAGATTAATTTTTTACAGATTTTAGACATTCGTCAGCTTTTGCAAACGTTAAATAATAAAACTTGAGTATACGGCGATACAATTATACTACAATGATGCAATATGTATTATAAGAAAAATAGGTGGGCATTAAACCCAAAAATATTGAAATTTTTTTGTAAGCTCATTACATTTTGAAATTTATATAGCTAATCTACGTATGTGTAGCGGCATATATCATAGCACTGATTCCGTTGAAATTTTATAAAATGCTCGGTATTTAATAGGTTGTTCCAAAGTGAGCAATTTTTTCTGACATATCATGGTTCTATAAAGTGTATTTGTTTTTCGCGTACCGTTGTGGAAGGTGTGTTACCTTGTTTGACTTGTAAATTTCAGCTACTAGTGATGATACGGATAGAGGGACTTAGTACGCTACAACATTTAAAAGAGTACTACGTTTTACATAAATATAAATGATTACTGATGATTGTTATTATTATTGTCACTTTTTACCTTACTTTTTTAATATCCGCATGAAAAAATTGTGTTGCTTTTATATTATACAGACCGTATACATCGAACATCTAACAGAAGAGACTGATCTTACAGTTATTAAATTTATTAATTAGTGCTAAAATCAATAGGACCCTTATATTATGCATAAGATATTATTTAGTTCATTGTGAGAAACGCTTTTATGCTGTTATCTTATATAGCCAAAAACGTGGTTACCAACAGCTGATCTTTTGTTGAAACAAAGGTATCAACTGTAATGCATTTGACTTTTCCTTAAAACGCATTTAAAGCGTAATTCGATTCTCAAACCTTACAAACCCAATAAAGTAAGCATAGCTGAGATTTGGCTATTGCTTTGTCTGTTACCTTAAGATACATATGCATCCCTGCGACGTATTGATTAGTACTTAATACGTTCGAATTACTCTAGATTTTGATCGACCATTTATGCCTAGTGTATATAGCTGTTAACCGGTGCCTATTTACTATAAAGCGTCATTCAGTGTTTATTTAGTTCATGAAAAAACTTATCAGTCACGCCGCAGTTATTTCGGTGAGAGAGTCAAACATTGTCGCTCAGTTAGTTGACGTTAAGTTGAGGTTATGCCATTTTTGTGTTATGGAAAACCACTCTGTTCCCTATGACGTTGCATGCAATATTCCCCTCCTGCAATGCTAACTTTTGTAGCGTCATCAACATCAGTGAATGTTTTCTTTTTCTGCATGTTTTAGATCTTATTGTTTTTTTAGCATTATTAACAGTCACTACCATCCTCTTAGACCTCTCAAATCGAGCCCCTTTGAGATAACCCCACTGATCCTGGATCTGAATTTATAGCCGAGCCGTTCGAACTGGCCGCAGCTGTTGCTGTTGTCGCTGCTGCTGTAATTGGTCCTGCCAACTTTTCGACCCGTCGTCTTCGAAGTTCGCTAGCGTCAATTGTGTTTGCTAAAAGAAAAACGAATGTATTGAATATTAAACGTGTACTAAAACGTGCCGTGATACAGTGTTGAATGTATGCAACGCGTCGCGCGTAGTTAATCAATTTTGGATTTTAAAAGCGACTTACCAGCAGCTGTACTACACGATGAAGAACCGGCAGTATCTGGCATTCGTGTTGGCGATGTATCCACATGAGGAAACCGCGTTGTCTACAGGATGGATGTAAACAAAACAGAGTTCGCTCTTATTCGTTGCATACTAATAATCTGGTTATTTTAAATGAAGACGAAAGCTAAATGAGAAATAGATTATATATATCGACGTCAATTTTCATAATGGAGTATTCCATGTCTTTTACGGTTAATTTATAAATGTGAGCAATTATATTAGAATTTCGCAATGTTAAATGTTTATAAAACTCTTTCAACAGAAAAAGCCGAATGAGGCCTAGTCGGATAATGTCTCTGTAACGGCTAGATTGGAACTGCAGATTCTCAAAAATTTCCATTCATCTTCCGAATTCTATGACATGTCTTTTGAGTTGCTCTGAATGCTTTCGACATTAAGCCTTGAACGTTATGTTTGCTATACACTACAACGTACTGTACCGTGTTACTGGCCGACGTCGAAGACTTTGTTGACTGTGTAACATTAGTGGGTCCCGTCGAAGAGCCAGCCTGTGCCGACTGCTGTTGTTTTGGTGCACTGTTTGCATTTGTAGCGCTGGCCAATTGAGTACCAGATGCCGACGCTTGCTGTGCGGCTGTCGCTGCAGGTTGCGGAACCGCCGACGCAATAGTGGTTGCATTGTTGTATTGTGCCATCATCGTAACAGCAGCATCAAGTAGAACTTCAATATTGCGAAGATGCTGAATTCGAGCCTCCACGGCAAGCCGCTCATTGCCCTCCATCGCGCGAAGTTCGCTTTCCGATAACGTGCCGAGGTTGAGCTCACCCGGAATAATCGGTGGGGGTGGTGGAAGGAACAACGCGGGTAGAAGCGTAAACGGAGGCGGAGGTGAGATTATTGTCGACGCAGTTCGTGTTGCGACCCCAGCAGCGACTCCGGAAGCGCGGTTTGCGCCTTGGCCCCTAGTTTGATTTGTACCGGCATTGTTGAGTCCACCAGGTGAAGGCGCTCCAGGGCCAGCAGGCCCTGCAACCTCAGCATTGTTTTCTGAAATAACACATACGAGTGGCAACAACTCATATATCATCGACTAGCATATTTCTTCTAAAACCAGATATAGTTTTTAAGTCAGCTTTAAACTTCAAAATTAAAATAAAAAATACGTGAAAAAAACAAAACCCACGGGCGTTGTTGTTGTCGTTGTTGTTGTTATTTGCTGGTTGCGGTTGTTGGGCTACTGGAATATTGTTGGCATTCGGCGGCTGGTGAAGGTTGGGCCAGTTTTCAAAGAGGGCTTGCACATTGGGTATTTGGAAGGGTGGAATAATTTGGGCACCAGGTGGAAGATTTGCTCCGCCGCGTTGACCTGCAGCAACTGCACCAGCCGCTACTGCCCCACCACCGTGATTTGGTGCGCCAGGTGTTAACGTACCTCTGCCACTAACACTGGAATTCACAATAAAAAACCACATTTATTGAGGATTACTAAAACAAATACACAAACACACTTACTATTGTTAAACGCTGTATGAGTTTTATGTGAGCACAGAGCTGAAATTTCCTAGCACAAATGCCACAACTTGAAATGTAGCCCCTGTAATTGTTCATCATATATTTGCGCAATTTATTATTAGGGTTATCCGTAGGTTTACTCATGCTATAGATTTTTTTTACTAAACTTACTTCAGCACGTCGCTTCTACATGTCGGGCAAGTCTGTTGCCTTTGAAACCAACTACGTAAGCACGCTGCATGAAAAATATGATTACAAGGCAACTTCTTGTTGGCGCCCACACCGCCTCCTGCTCCAGCAACCTGCATTTCTTCTCGGCAGATGATGCACACATTATCAGCCGACGCCAGCTCCTCAGCCGTGGCATCCGGATACCTATCGACACCCGTTCAAAGATCACGTAAATAAAATATTTGCACATTTATCATTTTCACTTACTCAGAGCCACTTTCATTGCCTAAATTTCTCCTACAACTGACAGCTTCTACAGAAAGGGAGGTGAATAGATCTAAATTTAGAAGTGTACGGCTACCCCGTTTAAACTCGACGTTGCTGATGAGCAAATTAAGATAATAAACCACACTTCAGCAGTTTGGAATAAGCTTCCATAGATATGTTATAGGCTCCTGTAACCGAGCGCCCTCAATATGATCCACCATTTGCTATTGCCCTTTTTGCTGCTCTCTTGGTGACAACTTAATCCGTCGGTAAATACTTACAATGTATTCATATTATTGATCGCCTGACGTGATAGAACGACGTCCTTGAAGGCCCTTTTCAACGCTCGTATCGAAAGATACATCGGCCGAATAGCAAACAACGGGAAAGTGTGGATACGCAGCATGACAAGCATAAATGTAGCGTAAAGCAATACCTGAGAAAGTAAGCACACGAGCAGAAACACAAGGAAGTGTAGTGTTTGCTGGCAATCTCACTGAATTCGCGTAGTATATCACAAGGAAGTCAAAATACGTGGACATCCTTTTAGTGGGGGTGGGCGGCAGGAGGTAAAACGAGTAAATAACCAATCTCTGCCACAACAAATTATAATCATTGCACTAGGGAATAAAAAACTCATGCCATAATATTATGCTAGAAAAGTCCAAAACAGATCGAGTAATAAATTTTACCTTGGATGAGCTCATCATGAGTTCAGTGTAAAGAAGGAGCACGGCCTTATTATCCCACTGAGTCTCAGCACGAGAATCGATGGAGTGTAAAACGTATTTTATTAGGATATACCAAACAGAGGAAAGAAGGATTGCATACTCGAAGCCGAAGACCACCTGCACCTACATTCACGAAGATAGCATAAAAAGGGCACTGTTACGGGCAAAACGATACATAATCTGCTAATCATATTTCCTATAGTATATTCAGCAGTTCAAAGCGTCTTTTTCAGAACGCTTAGATTTGCTTGACACCTATCCGATATCCATGAGTCTGATACTGCTATCGATTATAGCAGGCACATATCTATATATATATATTCTAGAAACAACAAGCCTCAAGAGTATTATAGGTAGTCGGGTGTTGACAATATACGATCAGCCTTCTCCATTATTAAAGATTTTTAGATTTGCATAACTATAGTAATAATTTTAATAATTTTATTATTTTATAATAGTAATAAAATTATTATAAGTGAATGCCTATGATATACAAAAGAACGTAATATATTTTAAAGGCCAAAAAACTCACCGACGCTCCAGCGGTCGCGACGCTAAAGTAGGCGTGACGAACAAACGCATAATCCAACACACTAAGCAACGCTAACAAACTCAATACACGAATGTGGAACAACAAAGAAATATTTGGGCTTCGCTCCATGAAGTCGACTCGATCCTCGGCTAACCAGTGAAAACCCTTTTCATTGTTGAGACACGACATTAACGCCATTAGCACTCAGTATTTTGATGTCTACGGATATCATCATGGAGTGACCAAACGCGATAGTGATTATTTCCTCATGTAGTACTCAAAGAGTTCAATAAATATAGCAGTTTGCTTCTCGCTAGCATCTACTCACCTTTAGGACGAGAAGTAATACAAAAAGGGCTATAAATTTTGGCGAGAAATCATCCCGGAATACTGTAAAAGCTAAACACGTTTCTGTTATAGCGTACCACGACCTCTCGAGGAGATGCTGAAATTACACGCAAAACATCGTATTACGCACTTTCTAAAACATCATGAAATGATGTTCATGCAGGAGTGTGTCTATTCGCCTATCGCATTACAAATATAGCATCAAAACCAGTTCCATGTTACCGGATAAAATAAAAAAAAGCTGGACGATTATTGCATTATAGTTGCTAATGGGCCAGTAAATGTGTAAGTGCAGGGAACTGCGTTCGATTAATTATTCAATTAATTTTCATACTTTTTTCTTAGAAAGCATACCTCGATCTCGGCTGGGCGAAGCTGTCCGAAAAACAGCTTACCCATAGCTTTGGCCATCAACCATACGATGACGGCAGCTTGAACGTAGATTACGGCCATACATGGGTTTGACCTGCAAAACATCACAAATGAACAAGACAATAATTAGAACTACATGTAAGAAGATTGCATTCTAGACAATGATTTGTCCATTACGGGTAGTTGCATCAACTAATAGTTAAAACAAAGAAGAGCAGAACAATTTGATCAGACACGGAAACATCACTACGGCTTGAACAGCAAATTTTTTTAAGCTTGCCGGGTTAAGAGGACCATTAGAGGTGCAATGAGCTGAGAGGGTGAAAGTGAACGCTTCGTAAAACTTACTTTGTGAGAAAAACCACGGATGGATAAAACTGCCTTTTTTGTAGATAAGCATTTCCCACTACCGCTGTGGATACACACAGGCTTCCCAGGGTAAAGAGGCCCTGTCGAAATGACAGCATCCTGGAGGCCTTCACGGCGAATAGTGCTATAAATTGAAAAATACAAAAAAAAAATGTATGTGTTAATGTACAGACTAAAGCAAGTTGCTGTTTATGATACGCAGTTTTTCAGACTACAAATTTTGGCTGTCTTAAGCAGATCATGAAAACTGCAGCTTTCTCGCTTGTCGAATTGATGTTGAGTACACTAACACAATCTGCAGTTAAATGCATTTACATTTTGCCCTACTTCTGACACTTGGATGCTTCTTTATAGTTCTAAATGAAAACCCATGAATCCACGATTCAGTTTGCATTTCCATTGAATAAGTCGATACTAAACCAAACGAAAATTGGTCATCAATGACAAGTAGAGGATGACACCTAATTTTCTTGATTGCGATAATTTCAGATGATAATGAGAGCTCAGTACATCTACACCCTAAAACCTGCATATGTTGTCAAACAGGATTGTAAACATCCTTTATTGTGGAGACAACAGTTATAATAAGAACGCTATAAAGCTGGGCAATCTGTCACGATAGACGTCAGACTGACATACTCACATACATGAGATACTCACATAAATGGTTCTTTAATTGTAGCCGTCTTTCCGTTTTCTCGGCTTAATGTTAATAGGTATAGTCACCAAGCAACAAATAACTAACCTGGAGATTGCGGTAGGTATACGTATTTGTCATTAAAAAGGGGGGAAAACACGGGATAAAACAGAGATCCTAAGAATACGGAATTAATAAGAACAAAGAGAATTTTGTTATGATTATCTGACGTTAATTTTGTACTACAGAACACACTACTGTGGGGACCAGAGAGGAGAACCATTATTGCAAAATGCTTCGATTATGAGTGTCCTCGTATTCTCAATCTGACACGACTGCATTGCTTTAAGGAACTGCGACAATACGACACAGCCAGTCACATACGCTATCCTAAATTAAACTAAATAATACTGCTTTTCTTTTACACAACGGGAAACGGCCTGTAACTATTGTCGCTTAACCGGGCTTAACAGTCGCACATATTCCTAAGAGCGCAGCGCGCCATCTTTGTTTCGAATGATGCCGCGCCAACGGTAAAATCAGGCGGGTCAGTTAAATGAGTGTTATGTAAATTAAGATAATTCGCTTTGATGACCTCTTAATTGTAAGAAAACATCACGTCTAATAATGAAAAAGCTTAATGGAATTGATCTAACAATATAAACGCCTGCATAGAACTTCCGTAAAACTTAGTCAGCCTCAAGATGGCCTTTATGCTACTTTTGCTTTGTACACACACGTATCGTAGTTATACCGATATATACCGGGATAATCAGATATACCGAGTAACAGATTAATTTCCTCTAGATAGCAAGCCACTTCAAGGCAATCTTTGTACGAAATGTTATTATCGAATGAACAAATTAAGAATTAGTATTTACACCTAGAATCTCGTATTAAGAAAAATCGTCTTATTTCTTATTGCACCTTTACATGCTGGTGTGGGTTCCGTATTCAATGCTACTATTGAGGCCGAAAGCTGTAGAGACTGAGCCAACGCTCAGTCTTATGACAACAGTCTCAAATGAACTCTTACGTTTGAACACAACCACTGATAATCTATGCAGCTAAGTAATTTATTTTTGATAGGGGAATAAAGAACGCTGTTGTGCTCCGAACTGGACGGGTGTACTCCTTTTGATCCCTGAATGGTGTGCAGCCGTGAAAAAAAATGAGGATAGCCACTACAATTCTTCCCTATATATACTACATCATTTTTCGGCTGTGGTAAGAATATCTCACTACAAAACGTGTAGGACAGGCCCTGGAAATATGTTATCGTAGAATCTCATAAGATGTTTAGAAAAAGTTCCAATGAACTCACTTTACGGAATCTTGCTGACCGCTATACAGAAGTAAATCGCGTTTGGTTTAGCTTTATTGGCTGGAGTAAAGCTCATGCTAATAACGGATACCGGAGTACATTGTGCTGGTTGTTGATATCAGCCGCCATAGTAAAGGTTAAAAGCTATCTGATTAAACCGTATGATGGTATGGAACCGCTTGTTCCGCTTGCGATTCGTCATGGAGTAGGCAAAAAGACGGATATCTTATTGAATAGACGGACGGACGAGTCAGCCCAGATGCTTTTTATCACCGACACAATGTCTGGATACCGTCCTATATAGCCCGCGCATCTATGACCACTAGGAGTCTAGCACTTAGCCTCACCACACCTCGTTTCATTTTACGTATGTATATGCGAATGGCGTCACTTGAATACCAGCAAATTTGAAGGCCGCGAAGTAGTTCAGGTGAGGTAACTTAAAGTGAGGTACTGCAAATCATATAGGGTGAAAAAGTGCGTTGTTCTCACTGGTGGTGAATGTCCTATGCTTTGTAGGCAGCTGAAAAATGGTTATCTTCTTCGTTGTACAAGTTGTTTTCTGACGGGACTGACACTATATAAAGCTGAACTGATGCGATACGATGTGATGGAAAAAATGCGAGGACTAGACGGTTGAGATTCGTTTCTCGTTTCAGCGCCATCTAGTATGAAGGGGAAACATTACTCTTCTTTCTCCGCGCTCTAAACGCATGAAACAAAAAGCACTCAGGGATTTCTATTTTGCTTTAGTTAGACCCAAGTGCCGAATTTTGTATTAGCTATTCAAGCGGTCGAACTTCCAGCTTGAGAAAAATTTATGCTTTGAATAAATTACACACGTCGCTAGTATCAAATGAAGTATTAAATCAATAACTCCGAATAATAGTGTCTATAAGCCTCGGTTTTCATAGGTGAAAGTGGGCAAATGTTGCACCTACGTGGTGTAGCTCGTTGCAACCTGGGTCGAGCAGCGGCAGCCATTCGATTCTGACATAACCCGTTTTCGATAAGTAACTTTGAGCAGTAAATTTACAATGAGTAAAATTCTTTAACAGACTTGTTCCGATAAAAGCAACAATATGTTTGTAATCAATTATTGCCGTCAGCATACTGTATATGCTGAAACGAATGGGGCGAGCGCATAAAACACTGAAAATGTAATTAATCGCGTCTTTCATTTTTCTCGATTCCTCTCCCCATCTGTCATCATTTGGGCGAAGACTAGTCTCGTCTTTCTCTCGCTCACGCAAATACATATCTGGGCGTTCGATAGTTTAGTCATCACTGAACACAACCTTTCTTCGCATTACCTAGTGCAGACGACCTCGACGCTATGACGCTGCTTGTAGACCCCAGTCTGTGTCGATGCGCCAACTCCATGTCTAGAATACAGAATCTATAATCAAAACGCGGCACGCCCGATATCGGGAGGGTGCGATACGGCTGACGTCGCCAGATCACGCGCATATCAACCATTATCGGTGTCGTTACGCTCCCATGAATTTCCCATCTTCAATTCATTACTGCATTTCCTCATTCGGAATTGACAGTGCGAGTTGCACTCGCCATTCGTTAATGGAAGAGAATCGAGGGAAGAAACTGAGATTGAACAGGAGAAATTCGTAGGAGTACTCGGAGGGGTGAGTGGGTAAACGCAGTCGACAGACAGGAACCGAGCAGATTTTTTATCTCATCATATACAAAAAATGGTGCTACACAGTCATCAACAGCATCGTTAGTAGATAGCAGTACGTTTTTGAGTCCACCTTTTTGCAAATAGCTTAAAACCTGGCAGCGTCACCCGCTAAAGGCTTACACAGACTTGCCATATTTTTTTTATTATCCTAGTTGTGAGCTAATAACGCTACTCGCGCACCAAGTAGCACGGACACCTTCAAACATATGATATAAATGACATTCGCATGAACTTCGTCGGAAGAAAATCGTCGCTATTTGAAAATCTGCCACACTGAACATGGTTCGACAATATGAGCATCCCAGAACTTACATAGCTGCTTACCATACTATAAGCTTGTGAAAAAACAATCAAGTTATTATTACCACTGCAAATATTGTAAAACCATTTTTTGTAGCTAAAACACGTACAGGTAAACAAAAAGATAGTGGAGCAACATTAGGAAACAGCATGAGTGGTGTTTGGTTTCCTTTCATACTTTAATCGCCTAATGACCGGATTTTGTGACAATCAATGCCTCACAGTTCGTTATAGTAATGCTGTTAGATATTAATAAGTTATTTGGATTGGTTACCAGTATCACTTTTCTCTCGCATTTCCTCCATTCCAAAAGTAGGTTCGTGACGACATGTTTTAGTTTAGCATGACGGCGTCTATCTACCTACGGTTGCCCAAACGAAATCATCAAAGAAAGAGTGCCATTACGACATAAAATTAAAAAAACGCACCGTTCGTGTCTCGAATCCAAGACCGTAAGCAGCACCACCTTTTATCACGTTTTACCCATTACACTAACGGTGCTCCAAATACAGTCTATGTTCTAAATTTAACTACATTTGGTAAATAGACAATAAAAAATGTTTTTTTATACTCTAGGCATAACATTTGGTGCAAGTTTGATATACATAATATCAAACAAATAAAATGATATCGTGTTTTGATATGAACTTTGCATGCGATTGTGAAATCGGAACCCTAAGTTAAAATTTCATAAGAAAAATTATGATCCATGTCTTTCGTATAGTTTTCTTATTATATGGATGTCGTATTGCTTTAAATTCCAGTAACCATTCCTTCAACTTCTCTACAGTCCCAAAAACGTTCCATAACCATTAAAGCTGACTACAGCGGCAGTAGCGGAATAAACTGTACTGGGCCGTCCAGTGGTGGCTCAAAATACTCTACGACAATTGCCGATGGTTACTCTATCTCAATGTTGTCAGGTTCCTCCATTTTCACTATGGTAAAAGCTGATATTTCGCATTAGTTTCTGTGTTGTGTTTTACCAGTCTAAAAAAGTGGCATACACCATTCTTTAATCTTTAATTTGGACAGCGTAGGAGTCCACATCAGCACTCAAATGTTTCAACGTCTAATGCTTAGGCGTAAAGGCTAGAAAAATGGGGTCGGATTCAACAAAAAGCAACGTAGTCGAACGAGCATCGATTATGAGGCACGGACACA